GGGAGGTGTGTATGAAGGGAGGTGTGTATGAAGGGAGGTGTGTATGAAGGGAGGTGTGTATGAAGGGAGGTGTGTATGAAGGGAGGTGTGTATGAAGGGAGGTGTGTATGAAGGGAGGTGTGTATGAAGGGAGGTGTGTATGAAGGGAGGTGTGTATGAAGGGAGGTGTGTATGAAGGGAGGAGTGTATGAAGGGAGGTGTGTATGTAGGGAGGTGTGTATGAAGGGAGGTGTGTATGAAGGGAGGTGTGAATGTAAGGAGGTGTGTATGAAGGGAGGTGTGTATGAAGGGAGGTGTGTATGAAGGGAGGGGTGTATGAAGGGAGGTGTGTATGAAGGGAGGTGTGTATGAAGGGAGGGGTGTATGAAGGGAGGTGTGTATGAAGGGAGGGGTGTATGAAGGGAGGTGTGTATGAAGGGAGGGGTGTATGAAGGGAGGGGTGTACAGAGGTCTACACGTGGGGTGTCTAAGCAAGTCAACATAAAAATTTACGTGGCCATATTGTCTTTGCTTTGCTAAGGACAACGTACGAATAGTAGAACTTTTTCTGAGATAAGAGAATATTTTTTTACGACCTCTTAAGAAAAAATTCTTTTGAATTGTGTGTTTTAAGGTGGTCGAGTCGGTATCACGTGATTAGCATGTGTATGACTCTTCGTGGGATTTCCTGTTAAACAGTGCCACATTGCACTACAACCCATCCACGTTGGGCATCTACCTTCCAGCAATTACTCTGCAAAGTTGAGTGAGGAGTAGTTCCACCTCGGACAGCCAGCGACATTATATTTTCTGGATTTAGACTAGATGCGTAACTGGATACCTGTCTGAAGTGATTTCAAATTCAGCTATTTTTGCAAACTTTACCAAGATGGAAGACTGCACCAAGAAACCTCGGACCCTTACAAAGAGTTTCTTCTGTAACTGTATTTAACAGTAACTGTTATCTTTCGACTAATGGTGGAATGTTTGCTGAGTACTAGACTGTACAATATAAAAGAAACAAAAACAGGAAGCAGCCTGCATGGCCTGCGTGAGGCTGAACTTGTGGCCCTCAAAAATAGGAACTAATGAATTTGTATGAGTATATTTTTAGATAGTTTTCATAATAGTAATAACCAGTGAAAAACGTAGTCTAGATTAACCCCCCCCCCCCCGTGGCTCAGTGCCTCAGGTTGGGCTTACGTGGCACAGAGATGGAAGAGGGGGGGGGGAATGCGATTAACACAAAAAGATTGATTACTGCTCATAAATGAGAGGAGAGATTTGGCTTGAATGCTATTAAATCCTATAAACGATGAGCGACGCTCTGTTATCACTGTAATACCTACGAATCATTATCACGATATTACGTTGGTTCGCAGCAAAAGATCTTCATAAAGTTTAGTAGGCAAATATCTTCTTCCAGGAGGAATGACAAGTTTCATGACAAAAACATTGTGCATAATGCAAGAGGAGTTAAGTAGATCAGAAAGGGACAATAATTCACTGATTATTATTTTTTGGGGGGGAGTGGGGGTGGGGGTGTTAGAGTCCTATCATGAAAACAATGAGTCGCTACAATATGAGTGAAAATTTGATACAAACCACAAATCTGAAAATAGAGAAGTTGAAAACGTTTCACTCCGTCATTGACCGTTATGAAGAGTATTAAAAAAAAACCTCCTTGCAGTGTGTGGCTCAGTTGTTGTGCCAATAATCTTATGACGCTGAATGTGTCTCTTAATCCTGTTAAAATTGTTACCTATATCCCCCCTTGGAACGTTGTGCAGGTCTCTACACATTATACATCCGTCTGTGTAAAGAAAACCTATATGACTGAAACTTTGAGATGAATAACACAAGAAGTTATTGACAGTTATCTTGAAAATCTCAAACTAACTGAATTATATGCCTTTACTTATGATTCAGTGCAACTGGACCCTGGTAGAGTAGGTTGTGCGTGTACAATATATAGTGAGGCCAATTATGAGCCAAGTAAATTAAATGTTATGTCAAGAATGCTGAGAATGAACGACTGGGCCACATAACACAAACTGAGCTATTGGGTATTGAGCTTCTCACTAAGTATCTTAAACTCAATGGGGGTGGAGTGACATTTAGTGAGTTTAAATTGTTGGACAGTCTTTAAGTAATCTATCATAATTAATGCCTAATGTAGCTTGTAGTGTTAAATGTAAAGTGATTATTCTTAAAGATAATAATAACTTTTGTATAAAATGTGTATAGATCCCATCCCATATTGGGTTTCGAAAACATGACGTTGAAGATCGATTGGCCAATGAGATTTGCAGGAAAGAAAACACGGATTTCGACTTGGGGACCATCTAATGCAAAATTATACAAATTAAAGAGGTTACTTCAGATTGAGAAGAACCAAGGAATGCCCAAAGACCTGAGTTTAACTTTAGTATTAAAAGTTATGAACATTTTTGTAATATTTGTATGGTCAACACAGCAATCAGACCAGACAATGTGATGTAGTCATTGTGGTAATTCGTCTTGGCTATAGACACATCTGGCAGGTTAGTGAGGCTGAGCCACTACCACAATATTCAGCTTGTAAACTCTGTAACAAACCGTTAATGCATTAAATTAAACACTACATTATTGAATGTGAAACCGTAAAAGATTTTAGAAGTGTTTTATTGTACAATTGAGTGTGTAACTATTTCATTGATTCTGGTATATTGGAAGACACCCTAACTATGTATCATAAATTTCCTTGTCAATTTTAAAGAATGAAGAACAATAATTTATTTATTTATTATGATTTTTGTAAAGCTGCATATCTTATGAATTCATCCTTGCGTTGTGTGGCAGTAAACAACAGAAAGCTGCATTTATAAATTCCCAAATTGAAACACGAATAATATCTGATGTAGTAGATTGGAACCTGGTGAAATATATATATATATATATATATATATATATATATATATATATATATATATATATATATATATATATATATATATATATATGGGCTTCAATCTGCAATTTAGACCTATTGTCTTTAATATGATCCTTTGTCCTGTGTGGCAGTGAATACGAGCAGCACCTCACTGTAATAAAACCTAATTGAAGGACTAAGATTAGGGACAAAATATAAACATTTTGCCTGAAGATGTTAATAATAATAATACCTGTCTCTCACCCTTCCCATTAACCCTCCCTCCAAACAAATTTCCCCTATTCCCTCCCAACTCCATCCCCACTCCCTCTCCGACCTCCTCTACTTCCTTATCATTTAATTTTCCCCCTTGTCGCATTCATAGTCTTCCTACAGCCACATTCACCGTGGTCCCCCCTCTCCCCCGGTGTCCATCACAGGGTGCCCTTGCCATCGTGGGAAAACGCAGACCTTATGGAGAATATCAGAGCAATATTTTCATGGGCTGGAGGCAGCACTAAGCTTCCTCCACGCCACCTCCGCCAGCCGGTCAACCCTTGGTAAAACTACTTCTTCCCAACTCTTCTTTCTCATTCAGGACACGCCGAAAATTATGTAAAAAATATAAGAAACAATATTTATGCAGATCGTCTTATTATCACTATTTACACAAATTCATAATATAACATTTGACTGTAATGCGTGAAAGGCTATTGTAGGTGTTTATAACGTCTTGTCCTGTATTAACGTTGCCTTAGAGTCTATTACTAAGTCGGCCAGCCGACTTAGAGGGAGCCGGCCGGCTGAGCGGACAGCACACTGGTCACGTAATCCTGTGGTCCCGGGTTCGATCCCGAGCGCCGGCGAGAAACGATGGGCAGAGTTTCTCTCATCCTATGCCCCTGTTACCTAGCAGTAAATAGGTACCTGGGAGTTAGTCAGCTGTCACGGGCTGCTTCCTGGGGGTAAAGGCCTGGTCGAGGACCGGGCCGCGGGGACACTAAAGCCCCGAAATCTACTCAAGATAACCTCAAGATAACCAAGAAGTCCACTGGAGAGGTTGACCTCAGGAGCTCGGCTGCCTTAGCTGGTGGTCAGTGAGGGTGTTGTGAGGTCCAAGTCTGTGTTGATCCTCCTGGCGAACCGTTCACAAACCAAACTTCACAATAATGCATATTCAATACTGAATTAGTGTGCCCGATCGCCTCTAATGGGGTATAGCAAAGACGTATAGCGTCCAATTCGCAGAAATGGGCCATACAAAATTGCATATCGATATTCCCATGAAATATGATTCGTTCATAATTATTTTAAGTGAGGTTTGACATGTATCAAAGCCTACTAATATTTTATAATAAGTAATGAACATAGTGGGGGTGTTTATTGATCAAATCGATCTTACATAACTTTATTATTAAATTTTAGGGGCTTAATACTTTTATGGTGCTGTATTTATTTTCGCCTAGAGGCTTTATGCGTGTGAACGCTTGTGTATACACGAGCCAGATCACACACACAGTGTGTGTGTGTGTGTGTGTGTGTGTGTGTGTGTGTGTGTGTGTGTGTGTGTGTGTGTGTGTGTGTGTGTGTGTGTGTGTGTGTGTGTGTGTGTGTGTGTGTGTGTGTGTGTGTGTGTGTGTGTGTCTGTTTGTGTGTGTGTGTGTGTGTGTTTGTGTGTGTGTGTGTCTTCCAGTTTTACGACACTGGAAGACAGAAGAGTGAAGAGAGATATGATCACAACCTACAAAATCCTCAGGGGAATCGACCGGGTAAACAAGGATAAACTATTCAACACTGGTGGGACGCGAACAAGGGGACACAGGTGGAAACTGAGTACCCACATGAGCCACAGGGACGTTAGAAGGAACTTTTTCAGTTTCAGAGTAGTTAACGGATGGAATGCATTAGGCAGTGATGTGGAGGAGGCTGACTCCATACACAGTTTCAAATGTAGATATGATAGAGCCCAGTAGGCTCAGGAATCTGTACACCAGCAGATTGACG